AGGATTCGTTCGACACTTGAAATCCTCTTTTTCACCCCCTCCCCCATCCTTTTTCTGTTTTTTTTTTTTTTCGTTACTTTATTAATTGATGATTCTTCAATATTTCTTTCGATGGAGTAACTATTCTACGATTTCTATTAGAGGATTGTGCTGTAAAAGTAGAAAAAAGAAAAAAAAAAAAGAAAAAAAGATAACTGGACTTCTCGGTGAATCTTTGACTGAAAAGTTTGATATCTTTCATCGTGATACTTAATTAGTTCGGTAAAAGTTTCTTTATCAATCTTGACACACTGTCAACTCTTGTCGTAGATCCTTTTTATTACTCGTTTAGATTTCATTTTTCCGATTCATTCGTCGTGTCAAGTATATATATATATATATTAGGATGAATCAAAAAGTTCTTCCGTTTTTATTTTCTTCTTTTTTTTTTGTTTTTTAATATCTCACTAACACATATAAAGTAATTTTATCGACTTTAAATTATTGCATTGTCCGAATCAACAAAATAAACTAACGAAATTTTTGTTCATCCTTATTATTATGTGTAATAGAAATGTATTAACTAATAAGAACTTATTTTTTTTGTTTATGTCATTAAATACTAATGATATTTAAATATAAGATGATTATTTATTTATGTCAATATTTGTAATAGGTAATTTAATTTAAATAATATATATATATATATATATACAATAAATAATAATTTAATTTAATTTATAATTTTTCTATACGATATCACCGCGTTACTTTCAACAAGTATACCCACACACACACAAATTTATTATTTATTTATTAGATAATTAAATATTATTTATTTAATTAATTTTTATTTAATTATTATATATTTAATTATAATAATATTATTAATTAAATTAAAAATTAAATAAATAAAAAATATTAATTAAATTAAATATTAAATAAAATTATTAAATATTATATATTTATTGTTTATTATATATTTAATTAATTTTTATTTTTATTTATTATTTAATATAATAATTAAATATTATTTATTTATTTTATTAAATATTAATTATCTTTTTAAAATATTCATTAGTAAATATTGATATTAAATCAATTAAAATGTTAATTACTTAGGCATTTATAGATTTTCTTTCGTTTTGAATATATGTCAAAGTTGGGGAAAAAAAAAAAGAAATATAAAGAACAGAAAGAAGAAGAAAAAGAAAAAAAAAAGGCCATAATATTGCCGTTACCTTCCAGGAAAAAAAAATGAAGTATCGGGATTTGGACCGATGAGAGAAGGACCTCCATGGAAAGTGGGTTTAACACAAGCGTACCCTCTATTACCTCTTTAGTATCATTCTTCTTTTAAAATTAGGAGGATCACTCGAAACAATTTATCACTTTTCCGCTTTTCATAATCCATAAATCCCTTAGGGTATAATAAAGTTTCTATCTTTCTTCATAAAAAAGAACAAAAAATAAAATTAAGTTGTTTCCTCAGTTAGATTGAAATCAAAGTTATTATAAAAGAAAATAAAAATAAACAACATGTGTGCAGATCACACGTGTTAGAAGTAAAACCTTCAAAAAACTAAGTTTCGAGAGAATAAAACGAATGCAGAATATCAGGTGTAGGATAATCGTTAGGGAGGGGGGGTTTATTTGTTATAATATTATTATTATAATATTATTATTATAATATTGTTACCACATTCAAAAATTATTTTACATTTTATTGACATATAATACATAAAACATATTATTATACAGTAAGCAAGTTCTCAATTTGAAAAAATGAGACGAGTTGCTTATGGTAACTAAACATCTCTCTGCGTGCACGAAATGCATGAACGAATTCCGGCGAACTTTTTGAAACTTCCCTAATATTTTCTTTCTGCAGATTTTCACAACACTGTTCAGCGTTAATTTTCGGTTAAGAGACACTTTAATCTCAATTAAAAATATCCAATTGCAAATCATCTGAGTAGAAAATTTGAAAAAATGTTACAAAAATGATCTATTCAGATTATGCTTGTCTAGTATGAGTAGAAAGGATTAAGAAAGATGGGAAGCTATTTAATGATTTACGATGATCGTTTTCACTATTACTAACAGTGAACGCATTATTAAACGCATTAGAGATATTATTCTGCACATTTAATAAAGCCTTCTGCACGAAATACACGAACACGTTCCGTTGAACTCTGGAATCTTCCTTAACGCGTTTTTCTGCTTAATTTCACACAATTTTCTCTAGTTTCCGAATTTTTTGTATTGTTAAGCCAATATATAAAAAATAAAGTCTTCTGGCCTAAGCGAAAAGCTATGATGATGGGAAAATGAGAGACTTTAAAATGAGAAATAAAACATGTGATCGTACCTAATAGATGGTATAATAAAACATTATTTATTCGTTAAAGAAAAGCTTTCCTTCTTAAGAAACCATAGTTTATATAATAGAAATGTAATGTCTATACAAAGTATAGTATGTACTATTACTACTTAATACTAGTATACTAGTACTTATACTATACGTTATACTATACTTATACTATACTAAATTAGAAGTACTTATACTAACAAGTATTACTAGTACTACTTAGTATACTAGTATACTAAGTTTAGTAATACTACTTAGTATACTAGTATAGTAAGTATAGTACTATTAGTACTTAGTATTAAGGACTTAATAATAATATTGTAATAATAATATTATAACAAATAAAACTTACGACTATCCAACACCTGATATTCTGCATTCGTCTCATTCTCTCGAAACTTAGTTTTTTGAAGGTTTCATTTCTAACACGTGTGATTTTTATTGTTCAAAAAAAAAAGAATCATAATCATTTGAACGACTAATTGAATAAATGTAAAAATATCAAAACCTTTTAAACGATTACCAAAATATATAATATATTATATATTTAATTATTATTAATATTAATTAATTTCACAATTAAATAAATTATTAAATATTATATATATTATTATTTATTATATATATATAATTAGTTTTTATTAATTTATTATTTAATATAATAATTAAATATTATTTTTTTTATATATAATAAAATATTAATTATATATAATAATATAATAATTAGATATTATATATATATATATATATATATATATATACGTCAATTATCATTTTTTAAAGATATTTAAATTAATTAAATATTTATATAAATTTCAGTTCAAATTTTTTTTGTTGCTCAAAAGAAAAAGAAAAAAAGAAAGAAAATCAAAATCAATTAAACAAATAAATATTAAAACCATGTAAATGATGATACCAACAACAAAAATATAATATATATATGTGTGTATGTTAATCATCATATAAATAAATATTTAAATTTGATCGAATTTTGAGACGAATAAAATCATCAAAATTATATATTTATATCGGTTTCGATCGAAATAAGTAGATACTACTTTGGTGAGTACTACTAGCGTTGGGTAGTTAGCGAAGGCAGGTAGAGAAGTACTAGAAGATGGGCTTGGAAGAAAGGCGAAAGAGGGTGGATAAGTTCGAGCTGAAACTTAACGACGTAATGAACGTCTGACAGAGGATTATTTATCGACGAACGTGGGGAGGGGTGGGAGCGGGGGGAGGGGTACTAGTAGAATGGGGGTGTGGAACGGCGCCGAAGGGGCAGGAAACGACGGTAGGAGGATAAAAAAAAAGGAAAGAAAGTAGGAAAGGGAGAAAAGAAAAGAAAAGAAAAGAAAAGAAAAGAAAAGAAAAAAAAAAGAAGAAAGTAAAGAAAAAGAAATAAAGAAAGAAAAGGGTAAAGAAAAGAAGATGCTCGTTTGGCATTGTGAAGGAGATCGTACTAATTATCGGCATGAATGGTGGTAGTAGTGGTGGTAACCAGAGTGAGGGAACAATTCGGTTCAATCGGTTTTTCGTCCTGCTAGTAAGACAGGACACTATACTGGTTGAATGGTTTGAGAGGGGTAAAGGGGAGGAGGGGAGGGGGGAAGAGTGAAACTCTCTCTTTAACTGTATAAGACACGAAAAAGTAAAGAACGAATTCGTTTCAAGTCGCTTTCGAGAATAGTTCTAAGCTAACCGAGTTCAACTTCGACATCAGGAAAATAATAGCGAGCTTGAACGAACGTGCACTTAATAATGACGTCCCTTCTTCTTCTTCTTCTTCTTCTTCTATTTTCTACATTTTTTGTTTTTTTTTTTTTTTATTCTACCCCTTTCTCTTATTCTTCTATACTATTTCTTTTATTTTTCTTTTTTTTTTTTTAGTTAATTAATCGGCTTATTCTAAAGAGAAAGGAAATTAATTGGAAGACAGTTTAATTGCCATTGCCATTATATCGAAACGAAAGATTTTTAACAAACAATCAAAAAGATAAAAAATAATTAACTATCGATTAGGTGTATCAATTAGTAAATCTATATACACATAGATTTAGTAAATATATGTATAGTATTATAATATATTTCTTATAATATATAAGTATGGTATATAAATATTAGTCAATTATTATGTAAGTTTAATATAGTAAAATAGTTTAGTATTATATTATAGTATATTATATTATATACTAAGTATATTATATATTAAGTATAGTATATTAATACTATATGTATTTAATTAAGTATAAATTAATTATAATATATTATTAATTATAAATAATTAAGTAAGTATAAGTTAAGTTGCATAAGTAAGTATAATATATTATTAATTATTTATAATTAATAATATACTATACTTACTTATTTATAAGTATATTTATACTTATTTATAAATAATTAATAATATCCTATATTTACTATAGTATATATTAATACTATACTTAAATACTAATATATTATAATATATTATAAGTATAGTATATTATAGTAAATAATAAAGTAAATATATAATTATTAAATAAGTAATTAAATATAGTCTTTAAATACATATATTACATCGATAATACGCAAAATTGATTTAACAATCAGTTAAAAAAAGAAAAAAGAATTTTTTCGGAGATACTTTAACAGCGAAGTAGCAAGAAAAAGAAGAAAAAGAAGAAACACAGAAAGAAATACCTTAAGAGAAAATAATCGTTAGGTTAAAGAAAAAAATGAAAAGAGTTGTGAGTTATTTTGGGACCGTTTTTTAAAAACGATTTAAAGGTCTCTCTCTCTTAAGTTAGACCGAGATTATTTTTCCGACATTATTCGTCCTCTTCTAATATAAAGGACATCGGACATCGTATAAAAAGGGGCCAAGCGGATCCGGCGACAGCTGGTTGGCTATTAAAAGCGGCTTAGACCTTTAGCAGAACCCCCTTCCTCCTCCTCCTCCCCTTCCGCGTTTCGAGTCCTCACGGAGGATGATGACTATGGCAACAACGACTATGATGGGCATCCTGGACCATGACGACAAACGACTTTCCCTCTCTCATTCTCCCTCTCACTCTCTCTCATTCTCCCTCTCACTGTCTCTCTCTCTCTCTCTCTCTTTTTATCTTTTCACATCTTCTTTTCTCTGTACTTCGAAATTTTCACCAAACGGTGCCCGCTCATTTTAAGCTAAGAAAGTTGAGGGATTGGGGGTGGGGGTAGGAAGGGATAGGGTTGGAAGAAAGCATTTGCTTCCATCGTCTATCCGCTTCATATTTTTTTTTGTATACCCAACCCTCCACCCCACCCACTAGAATATATCTCTGTCCTTTCGAATGTTGGTGATTGTTAAATGAGCCGTGAAACACGCCATCCAAGATATTTTCTTATCGACATTTTGAAAACGTGACGAAATAATAAGAACAACAACAACTGTAACAATATTTAAATGGAAATTGTATAAATTATTTTCGTATTATAATACGTTCCGAAATTTAAATAAGTAATTATGTAAGTGTAATTATGTAAGCGTTAAATTTTTTTTGATATTATATGAGATTATATGATAATGTCATATTTTATATGTACGAATATTATTTATGAATATAAACATTTCTTTTTTCGTTTATTTTAGAATTTCATTAAAAAGTTAATACAAAAATTATTAATTTGTTACAAAAATATTAATCTTGCAACAGAAGACACATCTTATCTATATAATCTATATATTTATAGAATAGCCATCAAAGAAATATGTAATGAATAACACTTATCTTATCTATGATAATATAAATCAGTGATTCCCAAAGTGGGCGATGATAGCGGTCCAGGGAGGCGATGACGACCACAGGTGAATTGGAACTTTAAGTGTGTAGGTGTGCAGTAAAAAAAAGGTCATGAGGGCAATAAATAATTTTTCTAAGTTACTTTAAAAAAAAAAGCTCAACAATCAACAAAATTAAGAAATTAATTTTTAAAGGGACGATAAACAATATTTTTTCACAAAAGGACAAAACAGTTGGGGAACCACTGATATGAATATATGAGATTAATTGAAAATATAAATTTATATTTAATAAAATTATCAAATGTAAATATCTCTCTCGGTGTACACGTCAGTTATTAGTTATATAAAATATTGCAATATTTTATCTATATATGAAAAGAAACCATATAACTTATATCATTTATTATACTTACTTTAATAAATAATCGGCAATAACGAATGATATATTATTATGGACAAACAAATCATACACTTAGATTTATTTTCAAAAATTCTTTCTTATAATTCATTTCTAGGTCATCTAAATCGTCGCTTATCCATGGCATCCACGTACCATTAAAATGTTCAGGATAAGATCTTGGATCTACCCCATTGTACGTTTGATTAACGACAACTTTTCTATAAACATCGATGTAGTTACGTAAATGAACAGTGATCTGTAAAATTGTTATTCGTTAAGATAATCGATAAAAACTAATTTGCAATAAAAAATGTTACATATTTATATTACTTTTATTTGAGATTTACCTTAGGATAATATTTAGAAATATCGGTAGTTTCACATGGATCGGTAGAAAGATCGAACAAACAATGATCAGTGCAATCCATCAAATTATTTGGATGTTTACAAGTTACTTTTGTACTTTGACGAAGCTCATGAATTTTTTCAGAAGTCAATTTTTTTTTCGCAACAGTTGATATGGCACGACCTGCCAGTGATGAAATAACATCTAATGTTTTGTATTTTGGATAAGAACTGTCGGTACCGTTATCCCCAAAATAACCGTCGTAATTATAATAATTACTATCTAAACAATATTAACAATCGATTAAAATATTATCTCGATCGATTTACCTATTTGCTTTAATCTAATTGATCCAATAACAAAAATATGTTAATTACTTTTGAGCAGCTTATAGTTTCCTATAATGGCGGCCTCATCTTTTATCTTATTGTCAATATTTAACAATATACTATTTCGTTTACTCCTTCGACCTTTTTTTATTGTATTCCATTGATCAATACCATCAAAATTTTTCAAATTATTCAAATTACCGCCAGCTGCTGAATACAATGTTGGCAACCAATCGGTTATATGTATTAATTGATTAGAAATCGTAGATGGCTTTTTTATCAATGGTGAATAAATACAAGAAGCTGATCTAACACCTCCTTCGTACGTAGTGAACTTCAACTGATAAAAGATATTCAATAAATAGGATTTAAGAAACAACATAAAAAATAATACAAACAAATAAAGAAAAAATATTTGATTTGTGTTACCCCACGTAGCGGATAATTCGAGCCATGATTTTGCAACATTCCAATGGTTTGAGCTCCGTTATCACTGAAGTATAAAATTATAGAATTGTTTAACAAATCAGCTTTACTCAATGCGTCGACCACACGACCAACAGATTGATCCAAAGAATTGATCACACCTTCAACATTCCAAATAATGACCACACATTTTAATATTAACAAGTAAAAAAGCTTTTGATTTTTTCGGTTGACTTACCAGCTAATTTTCTTCTATTAATATCCTTGATGTATCCAAAAGTATCATTAACCTTTTTCATATCTTTAACTTGCAATTCTTCTCCATTGTCAAGACCACTAGCGTGCATCGCAAGATGGGCTATTTGAAGATACAAGGGTGTAGCCGGATCATGATTGGAAATAATTTTTTCCGCTTCCTCGGTAATAAGATCGGTCATGTAACCGGTTGAAAAATCCGGAGAAAGTTTATTCGGTTTGTCACGGTGTAAATCATGTCCCAAGTGCATCTAGAAACAAGATAGGTTAGAAAATAAGTTACATCATTCTGTTTCTTCTATTTTTTTTTTCTAAATCAACTAGTTAGTTAATTCAACGATCATGTGTAATTAAATAAAGATTAGATCAAAAAAATTATAATCTGCTTTCTTGAAATGAAAACAAATTAACTTACGTTAGATTTGATTTCCGGGGTAGTATGATTAAAATATTGAATGTAACCATTGTAGTAACCAAAATAAGTGTTAAAACCACGTCTGGTTGGTGTATAACGTGGCGCGTAATATCCTACATGCCATTTTCCTACCAGATGGGTCGAATATCCTAAATCTTTAAGATATTCTGGTAACAATTTGTAACGTTTAGGTATTGCACGTTTTTCACCAGCTTTTAATGGAACACCTTCCATACCTAAAACAAAAAAAAGAAAAAAAATCAAAAACAAAATCGATATGAAATCTCTTCGATGCTTTGCAAAATATTATCGTTAGTTTATAATTTAAATAAATTTTTGTGTTCAATTGTAAGATGCTTACCCTGTCTAATGGGATGATATCCGGTTAAGAAAGCTGTTCTTGAAGGAGTACACGTAGGTAATACATAATGTTTGTTTAAAATTACGCCATTGTAAGCCAACGCGTCTATGTTTGGTGTTGGAATTTGATCAGCTCCGTTAAAACTCACATCGTTCCATCCCTGAAAACGAAAATAACGTAATTTAACACGAATTTAAGAATAACAGAAAAAAAAATAACACAACGAAAATATTATTTACACCATACACGTCAATATTATATCGTAACATTTGAAATAATGAAGAAATGATTATTGTCTTACGAGATCATCGGCTATAATGACGATGATATTAGGACGAACTCGATATGAATAACTTGAATAATCTTCAACATTTTCCGATCGGATCAATAAATGACAACAATTTATTAACAAAATGAAAAATGAAACTTTCAAATTATTCTGCCTTGTTTTCATATTTTTCTATTCCTCTCAATTGTTACAAATCTTAAATCTGAAATATACAAGATTACGATATTTTATTACTTTATTCTACTTCTTGTTGATTATATATAATGTACTAGAATTGTAAGATAACACCTATCGTAGTAAGCGAATAAATAAGCTCGTATGTTCCTCCCCTTTTTCTTTATAACTTTGTCGTCACGCTATTATCATTGACTACAGCATTTTTAATCACAAGAAGAATATATTAAAATAAATTAATACTATTCCGCCCGCACATTTCTCAAATCGCCGTAACACTGACACCAGTAACCGATAACAATTGGCAAAAAAAAGTCACGTATACGTGACAACCGCCCACAAAGTGTTAAAATAAGAGTGCTCGATATGTGTGCTTTTACTTAAATAATTACACAATGTTTTCATTATTTTCATATCGAATTTTGATACGAACTTAAGTATGCGAAGGCCCCCGAAGGCAATTATCAAACGTAATCATTTATGGTTTATTAAGTTAATTTCAAAATGTTGCTTTAATTTCTGTGGATTTTTAAAAATCAAAAATTTTAAAAAAGGCACTCCTGTTAATCTTCCCCTAAATCCACATTTCTAATGGTAATTAATTGTACATTAACTTTGACAATATTGATAAATACGAATAATCTTTGTTATTATTAAATTAATTTATAATTATTTGTACATAATTAATTTCTTAATTAAATTTTGTTTTATTTCTAACTTCGTTATCACAATTACATGTAAATTAAAATCAATTGTTAAACGAAGTCATGCAATATATCAAAATATATCGTTTATACATAAAATTGACATATTTTATATGATTTATTTTTTTTTTATTTGCCTAATCTAAGTGTTACGATTTAAATAAACTTACAATATATTTATAATATGTCCATGCGATAATTAATAATAATAATAATAAATATCATTTTTAATTAATTTATTATTTCAATTGTTTTATACGATCGATGCTTGAATTATTAAAAACAATCTCGTGATTGTGTGGTTATCAATATTAGCTTTAACAATGCTTATTATATATTTGAGAGAATAATCTTTAGAAAGAAGAGAAATAACTAGGTCAACATGAATTAAATAAACTTTAACAAAGCTTATTATTAGCGAAAATAATCTTTAAAAAGAAAATAAATAACTAGGTCAACATGGTTTAAATGAATTTTAACAATGCTCATTATATTTGTCAGAATAATCTTTAAAAAAAAACAAATAAATAACTAGGTCAACACATAATTTTTGGATGAATTCCTAATAAATTTTTATCAAGCTCGTATTTATAATATTATTATTTTAATTTAACAACGATCATTTAATCATTTCGTATCATGTTAATTTAATCAAATACATGAGACAATCGCCACATTATAATCGTTCGATATAATCGCTCAGGAAATTAACAGTGATATCGCGAAAATACCCGATATTATCTGTCTTTTTTTGATTCAAATTTTAATACATATGTAATAAATCATAAATTTATAATTATACGATACGAATATGTTTACGAAAATAAATAAAAAATTATTGAATGATTTAATAACATTTAATAACAATATTTAGACCATAAAGCAACGAAAAAATAAAACGTCATGATGAATTTCTAATTTGACATAAATAATAAGTAAACAACAATTCGAAAAGATTATTTTTTTTTCTATTTTTCCTTTTTTTTTTTAAAGTAATTTATATTTTTATGCTTCGTACTAGAGCACGTTAGCTAAAAGCATTGTTGTTATCGGAAAAATAAAGTATAAGAAATTGATCGTAATCGTAGGCGCTGAATGCGAGTTACTAGGAACCAACCAAGGTTCCCACGTGTCGTTTGTTCTTCTTGGATCTGCTCTCCAATCGATTGGCATTCTATATTGATTTATCGAAAAACGTCCATATTTTTCTAATATTTCGTCCAATTCTTTAACGATCTGAAAAATAATTAAATAAAATTAAAAAAATGTTTTAACATAGAAACAAATCCAATTAAAAATGATGATAACATTAGGGTGAATCAAAAGTTCGTACATTTGTTGTTATGTTATAAATTGTATTATAAATCGCATAACGGATTGATCGCATAACAAAATATTGAAAAATATTAAATACATATGTGTGTATTTAATATTAAAAAGAAAAGATATTTATATTAATATTAATATAAATATATAATATTAAATAAATTGTATAATATATAAATATAATAATAAAAAAAATAAAATAATATAATATATAAATAATATAATATAAAAATATAATATTAATATAAATAATTAATACATTAATATATATAATAATTATTTATATTAATATTAAATATTAAAAAGAGATGTAATGTCTTTTTAATATTAAATACACACACATGTATTCAATACAATTTTTCAATATTTTGTGCTACTATGGATTGTTATTTTTTTTTGCTTTTTCGTAAAATTTACTTTTGGAAATATTAATATTAAAAACGCACTTAACGAATGTTTCATTCAACCTAATAGAAATAAAATCGTATTAATGTACCCTTGGATATTGATTGGCAATGTTTTTCGTTTCGCAAGGATCATTTTCCAAATCATAGAGACACTGTGTAGCATTACAAGCCGTTGAAGAAGTTTTAAATTGATAACTCAAATTCGATTGACAATTAACCGTAGCTTCCTGACGTAAATGTACTATAGTGCTAGGTTGAGTGACCGGTCCTCCAAGATAATAAGTAATACTATCAGATACAGAACTTTTCACTATTGTATCGGTATAGGGTGGAAGTTCAACTGATTTATCGTACTTTTCTGGATCACCGTAATATACATCGTAAAGACTATGTTCAGCTGGTCCTAGAAACAAAAATTAATTCAATACATAAACTTATTGTTTATCCATAATTTAATATCTTATATAAAAATATATTATAGATCTACCGGAAAGTTCTACCCATTTTTAGAATAAAACAAAAGTAATAAATTTTCATATCTCTTTAATTGAACTAATATTTATCAATTATCATTATTTATAATTTCTTATCATAGTGTGATGAAAATTTGTATATTGCATTTTTAAAAAATGTTTTATCCCTAGAGACGAAAAAATGAACCGATGTTTATCAGAATGGACAGAACTTTCCGATAGACCTAATATATACGTACAATATTATATGTGAAATTTATTTTATATACAAATCTATATAATATGAACAAATTATATAATAAATTGTATTTATATAAAATATTATAATATGAAATATATAATTACCTCGAAGTAATTTGAAACGTTTGTATATCGCACCCTCTATCTTCTTACCATAATCGATATTCAGCAAAAGACTTTCCCTTTCTTTACCCGTTTCCATGCTAAGTGCATTCCATTGATCTATTCCATCGATTTCACCTAAATCTTTTAAATCACCACCTGCCACTGAATATAACGTTGGTAACCAATCGGTTATGTGTATTAATTGATTTGACACTCGGGCAGATTTTTGTAATTTCGGAGACCAAAGTACAGCAACACCTCTTACACCACCCTCGTAAAGAGTATTTTTTGTCTACCCCATAAACATATGTGTAAATAGAAATAAAATTTTATAATTATTATAATAAAAATAAATATATTAATAAATAAATTAATTAATAGTTTTACCCCTCTTAATGGATAATTCGAACCCCAATTACTGAGTCTTCCAACGGAAGGTGCTCCGTTATCGGTTATAAACAATATCAAGGAATCACTTAACATTCCTTTTTCACCCAAAGCATGAACAACGCTACCTACAGATTCGTCCAATTCAACCACCATCCCTAGACAGATTAGGAAAATATCAAAAAATAAAATACATAATAATACGTAAATATAAAGGACAATTTTTAAAAATATTTTTCGTGACGCTAAAATTTCATTAAAAGTAAATAACTTTTGTATACTCAACGATCGGAAATAATTTTAAAACCAGTTTGACAACATTATGTTTGTGACTTTACGATAGTAAAAGGAAAAAGATAGTCGAGACCGTAAAAATATTTCTTCAGATTAATAAGGTCATTCAAAGGAAAAATTTTAAAAGTATACTACTGTAAAACATCTTTAGTATCAGAATAATTAGGTCAATTTTTCAGATACCAGAGATTCCAATGTAAATATTCAACTATGTATCTTGATCTTGTTTATGTGTACTTGCGTATTTTCGTCGATTAGGGTCTCTGATATGCTTGAATTCTCTATCTTTGTAATAATCTTGTGGATTTTCCAAAGGTGCATGTACAGCGAGATGCGATAATTGAAGATAAAGGGGACGTGAAATTTCATGATGTTCGATTATCCTGATAGCTTCTTGAGTAAAAAGATTCGTAGCGTATTTATCAGAAATTCCATATGCAGGATCATCTCCACGATGTAGATCGTATCCGGTCATATTCTAATATATATAATATATTAAATTATTATTATAATTTTTATAATGGAATTATTATTACTATGATATATAAAATGATTATAAAATTCTTTTATTTACCTCATAAGAATATCTGTAACCATAATACGAGACATGGCTATTATAAAATCCAAGAAACGAATCGAAACCTCTGTGCAAAGGTGTATGCTGTGCAGTATGATAACCAATATGCCATTTGCCAATTAATTTAGTCGTATATCCCAAGGATCTCAAACGTTCCGGTAAAATTTTAATATCCAATGGTAGACCCCGTGGTTCACCACCCTTAATATCCTCTCCTTGCATTCCTAAGTTTTATCACGAATTTCTATATATTATAACAAATAAATCAATCGATCTGAACGATGTTAGTGATAAAATATAAATAAATAAATTGAAATAAAAAAAAAAAACATTTCTTTACGATGACAACGATGATGAATCGTAACGACCAAATGATGACGATAAAATAAAACTTTCCCCATTCCTTACCCATACGAATTGGATAAAGTCCTGTAAAAAATGCTATCCTTGAAGGAGTACTAGAAGGTAATACGTAATGTTTGTTTAAAATAATCCCATTATATCCAAGTGCATCAATATTAGGGGTTGGTATTTGATTAGAACCGTGAAATCCAACATCGTTCCAACCCTACGAATTATTAAAAATCATAACGAAGTATATTAAGAAAAAAAAAAAAACAAACAACATTGACTATATAAATTTGGATAAAACGTAAAGTTTAAATATGTCGAGAACTAAAATAACTTATACTCTTATCATTTCAGATTAGAAAATTTAACTAATTGTGCGAGATATTTACACCTACGTGCTTTTATCTAATTGCTCTTCACATATTTTTTTTTTCCTTTCCTTCCTGATTATTGAAAATATTTAAAATATAAATGCGCGCATAAATTATTATTAAAATTATCTTTAAGGATTAATAAAAAGATATATCATTATCTGTGTGATATATAAAACTCTTATTTCAAAATAGTCACTTGCTTTAATTAATTCGGTAAATAAAATAATAACTATACGATATTTTGGGGTTTTTTTTTATATTGTTCCAAGCATTATAATTTATTTATGTTATATATCAAATATTTGTATTTTCTTACCAAATCATCTGCCATGAAAATGATAATATGGGGTGCGGTCTTGTAAACGCCAGCCGTACATTTTACGCAAAATTTGATAATCAAAATAATTATAAGCACCTGTCGAAACTTATTGAGAAACATTGTTTACGTTGAAATTAATAGATAGGAAAAAAACTAGAGTACATAATATCGAAGATAATGAATAGATTTGTAATCGTTCCACTAAATAAATAAAATTTTCAAAATACAATATTTTATATACACGATATTTAACGAGATGCTCCTGCAATTTACAAAAGAACAGAGATGACAGATAAACAGGTTTATATAGTCCACCCACGAAAGGAAACGTTATGAATGAACCGTACGAAGGGGAAAGGAAAGTTTAACAATGATTCAAGCAATAAAGAAGATACGTGTTTCAACTAGGCTACTTCTCATCTTTCTTCTGATCTACTACGCTTATTCAATTTTCTAATGACGTAAGATATATGCATCTATTTTAATTATTTTTTTTATCCTGTTTCTTTTCTTTCTTTTTTATCAATAAATAGAACAACAAAAAAAGTAAGGAATGAATAAAATATATTTCTCTTTCTATCATTTTATTTCATAATTGTAATAAATATCTTTGTTTATCTATTTAATTCGAGCCGGTAAGTATTAATATGGCACGAATGTTTGATTATATTGCCTAATTCGGTATCGACACCATCTGTTAACTTAATTAATGATTTAATTCAAGGTCTTTTAACGAGATGACTAGTGACGAAACATTATTAAGAATCATCAGCGTTTATTTTAATTTTACGAGAAGAATAGGGCAAAAAAATATTATCAAAATCATAGATCAAAATATATTAAATATATGTTATTTCATTAAAATCTTATTGATTATATAGATTTTTATAAAACTAACGATTTCAAGGTAATCGGAAATAACTTCTTTTATTATGATAACAATTTTTTTTTTAATACAACTGTACATAAAATATATTTATTTTATTAAAATTACAGGATAATGTTCCTAATTTAATTATAATTACATTTTTGTCTTAATATTTATTACAATTTATTTTTTTATTTTGTAATGTAATTACATATTACTTTTATATATTAGGCTGTTCTGTTAAGAATCTTTAATGATAAATGTATAACGATGTAAATTTTTAAAAAATGGATGTTATTAAGAAAATCAAATAAATATTCATTAAAAAATAATATAAAATATAAAGAAAAATAGTTAAACATGCAATTCGGATAGGTGTATGTTTTAGACCGTTCATCAAAAGTGAAATAGAAAAGAAGCGTGAAGAATTTTTGAATAGAATGCTTAGATAACAAAAAATAATTGTTAAAAATACAAACACATCATTCACATTTAATTATGCTTTTACTCTGAATATTATGTAATATCCAAATTATAATTTAAGAAAACTTTTATAATACAGAGCTATTAAAAATATAATTGATATAAAGTATAAGGGTTGGACCTATTAGGCCTGAAAATTGATTGTAAACATGGAAATGAAAGACATCGCATAGACTGTGTCTAAAAACTAAATAAATTATATCAGTGTATTACAAATATTTAGTTATTACGGAATAATCTTGTACTCTATCTAAAGTTTTTAAATTATCCCACCACAGTTGTAATTTATGCTGAAGCATAAGACGGAACCATGGCGTTAATGGTGCTTCTGTCGTTCGTAAAAAATCATTGATCATCGATCTTGATACCCATTTAATTTCACTCACTTCATCGGGATTAGGATCAAGAGTTATATAATCTTTTTGTAGAAATAATACGTAATCTATTTCATGTTCTCCCCAAACTCCATCTCCCAAAGAAAAGTAATGAATTCTTGATAAATAAAAGAAATCCGATAGATTGATCTCTGAGATTGGAATACCCAATTCATAATTAAGTCTTCTTTGGGCAGCCCTACGTATACCAATTGCATCATCTTCTAAAGTTTCTCCAGATATTTCTGCTAATGGATGACTGCAGCAAGAATTTGTATAACAGTCCGGAAAAGTTATCTAAAATGGTACAATTATTTATTAGTTAAAGATAACGAATATATATATAAAGTATATTTCAATATCTCAACTTATTCGACTAATAATTAGCATTTTCCTTTCCAAAATAAAATCGGTAATAAAAAGTTATACCTTCCATGGAGAACGTCTTTGCAATAACAAATCGCCATCCCGATTAAATAAGAAAACACTAAATGCTCTATGAAGTGGTAAAGTACCATCATTTGTAACTCTATGACAATCTTTTTTAGATGCTTCACCAATAGGTCTGTCAAATTCATCGACAAGTATGCAACGTTCTTCCAAAGCAGCTTTTTGCAGCGGATCTATTTGTGCTACTTTATAACCTCTAACACTAGTTGTTACTTTATTTACTATAGAAAACATACTTCTACTTATTTTATTCATTTTCTATTATATTTATATTTATATTTTCACAGTTCTTACTGTCTTGGAAGTCAATCTTATACTAAACTATATGATCTAACGTTATGGAAAAAAAAATAAAAATAAAAATAGAACTCGTTTAAATTTATTATCATACATTTACATAAAAAAAAATTGCACAACCTGAATGGTTTTTTTTATTTTACATTTACTTAACATAAAAAAACACCACAACATATTGCACAAATAAAAACCGTTTTGAAGGTTAGAAAATTTATACGCACAATTTTCAAACTTTCTTTTAACGGAATGCGGTCAAGTTATTAGCATCGTTTTCATTTAGAATTTAAACGTTTCACTTTAATAATTATTCTGTTAATTAAATGAACGTACATATGTTACATATAAGGACACAAATATTTAAATATTTTTGACCTTTAAAAGATAAATTATGATACACATGTTGTCAACGATAAATAAATAAATAAAATTATTTAACTTTACTTTAATTTCGAAAAAATGATGTATTTTTCATGGTACAAATACAAATTCCTAATTTTATTTAAATATTTAGAAATTGTTGAAATCAAACTATTCTGAGCACATTGGAATAATTTGTGGACAAATGTTCCATGCACGTTTCATGAATGTATTATAGACAGATTTCTTTAATAAAATCCTAACTTATATTTGTATTGTTTAATATTATTTTATTAACATTATTGTTTAATGTTATTAAATAACGTTTTTTTTTCTTATTCATTCCTTTAAAAAAATCTTTAAAATTATTAATTATTATAATTTAAGTTAGATTTACATTTAGAAATATCGTGTTGTTAGAAACACCCATGATGCATACGTATTCTTAAGGTTTATATCACGGAGGATAGATACCAGGAGTCCGAACGGTACAGGATTTTTCACATCATTTGTGGTATTCAATTCTTGACCCAGATCATAGTTCTCTTTTTTGCCACTGGCTGAGCAAGTATTCAGAACGTACCGATACTATTATTATTATTACACGTAAATACGGACTGGTTAACCTGGCTCGTAAATGTAAAAATAAATAAAATTAAATATAAAATATTAATTTATTTTTTTAGAATTATTTTTATTAAAAAATGAGAAAGTGTTGTGCCGTTTATGGTTGCCTTAGTGGCTGAAAGGCAAGTGAGAATTTAAGAAAAGTGGCTTTATTCAAAGCACCAAAAGTGAGTAACCTCAAAATAATATTAAAAATTTTATGTTAACAAATGATTGATGATTACATTTGTGTAATTTTTAAATAATATTAATTCCACGTTTCTTTAAATATTTTTTTTCAGAGCTGTCAATAGCAACAAGACTTCCCGCGTAAGTATTTAAACGAGTACTCTGTGAAAAGTAGCGCGCTCTACCGGCAAAATATCTGTCCCCTAAATTGATGCCGTTCTTTCAACATTACGTTCGGACTCCTGGTATCTATCCTTCGTGGTTTACATGGTACGAGTAAGTTTCATCATATTTTCACGAAAAAGGCTACAAATACATTCTTTTTATAACAAAGTAATTTTTAATTTTATATTAATATTTATAAGGGAAGATTCTTAACTCTGACCAAAGTGTACTATCAATAAAATACATAACCTAACAAATAAGGGATACGAAGACTGATGAAAACATTGTTCAAGAGTTTTAAGTTCGATTAATTTAATATAAAAATAATAACAGAAAATTTGTGTAATAATATAAAAAAAGTGAAATAAAATGGCAGACGAAAAATCTACAACGCAAGAATTTAGATTAGACGCCGATTGTGAGTTACGTTTTGAAGTGGAAAACAAAAATGAGAAGGTTACGTTGGAGGTAAAGTTTTTTCAATAAATATTCTTAGTTGTATATTGTTATTTCATTTTACTACTGGTCGATAATTTAATTAAAACTAATAATATATTTTTTATATTATTATTATTATTCTTTTTTCTTACTGCAAAAACAACTAACTGTTATTACAATTGTTTCATGTCACTATCAAGTTAAAAAATGGATTGGCTGAAGTATTTGGAACGGAATTGGTGAAAGGTAAAAAATATGAATTTAGTGCTGGTGCTAAAGTTGCTGTCTTTACGTGGCAAGGGTGTACCGTTGAACTTGTTGGAAAAACAGATGTTAGTTACGTAGCAAAAGAAACACCAATGGGATTGTATCTAAATTGCCATGCAGCTATGGAAAGATTACGAGAGACAGCAGAAAATGAAGATAAAAGAGGACCGATAACTATGGTTGTAGGACCCTGTGACGTGGGAAAGTCAACTTTATGTAAGATTTTATTAAACTATGCAGTTAGAATGGGAAGAAGACCAATCTTCGTTGATCTAGATGTTGGACAAGGCGATATAGCAATACCTGGTACAGTTGGTGCATTATTAGTAGAGAGACCATCCAGTATAGTAGAAGATTTCAGTCAACAAGCACCGCTTGTTTTCCATTTTGGACATAAAACCCCATCGGATAACGTTGCTCTGTACAATCTTCTTGTAACTCGATTAGCTGAAGTTTGCACCGATCGACTTCAGGCAAATAAGAAAGCTCGAGTTTCAGGAATAGTAATAAATACTTGTGGTTGGGTCAAAGGAGATGGATACAAATTACTTACACATGCTGCGCAAGCATTCGAAGTTGACGCTATTTTAGTATTAGATCAAGAAAGACTTTACAACGAACTTGTTAGAGATATACCGCCTTTTGTTAAAGTCGTCTTCCTACCAAAAAGTGGTGGTGTTGTCGAAAGAAGTCAAGCACAAAGAACAGAAACTAGAGATCAAGGAGTACGTGCTTATTTTTATGGATCAAAAACACCTTTGTATCCACATAGTTTCGAAGTTAAATGGAGTGAAGCAAGATTGTATAAAGTAGGAGCACCCGTTTTACCTGCATCTTGTATGCCACTAGGAATGAAAGCAGAAGATAATTTAACTAAATTAGTTGCTGTTACACCGGGTCCTAATTTACTACATCATTTACTGTCTGTATCATTTGCAGACTCTCCTGAAGATGATGTTGTACAAACTAATGTTGCTGGATTTGTTTGCGTGTAAGTTAAAATAGATATATACATTTACATATTTAATCGAATTTTATCAATCTATTTAAATAATATACTAAATTTTATTATTTTAATTACAGTACTAATGTGGATGTAGACAGACAAACGTTTACAGTGCTCAGTCCTCAACCAAGGCCACTACCAAATACTGTTCTATTATTTTCAGAAATTCAATTTATGGATAGCCATTAAGTTCTATTATTTCTATTAAATAATTGTACAAGTAGCCTTAAGTAAATTGATGATATGATAAACTGAAGTATTTAGTAGGATTACTTTTATCGAGCTTTTTTTATTTTTGTAATTTATAAATAACATCATGTAGCCCTTATTACCGTTATGAAAAACAAATTATTTTTATAAAATGTACTTGTGTGGGAGAATAATCTTATTATAGAATGTATATATATATATATATATATATATATGTGAATGTATGTTACGGTTAATACAGTAATACGGATATTGTATATATTAGCCAGAAAATTTATAGAATGCCTGAAATCTGTACATTGATACACATTTATATACGAAAAAAAGGATGAAAATAAAGAAATTTATAAAAAAATTGATACAAATATATAAGATAAATAACATTTGTCAGCGTGAACGTATATATTAAATGAATATAATAACTATTTTATATTTTCATTAATTGATTAATTCATGATATAAGAAAATAAAATAAGATTTATTATCGTATTACGTTTTCGTAATTGTTTTTTTTTTTAAATTTCCCGCCAATAAAATTTCTAGTGAAAATTCAGTCTCCATTAATTGGCTCCTTATTTCAAGTCGAAAAACACGAGAATTTAACTTGGATTAAAAAAAATAATTGATAAATAAATGGAGAATATTCAAGAATTAAATGATTTAGATGTTTTTTGTACCGAGCAACAATTACGAGAAAAAATATATGAATTACAAGAAAAAACGGTTGGTATCGTCTATTTAATACACAAAAATTTTGGTACCAAATTTTACAAATTTATAAAATTTGATAAATAAGTATTTATAAAATTAATTATGTATAATTTCAAGAAAATATTTGTATATTTTTGTTTCTTTGTTTAACAAATAGAATACGTTAGAACAAACTCAAAGAGAGTTATTAGAAACTCGACATTCTTTGTATAGTTCTAAGACAACACTGGAAAACGAAAGTCAAACAAATAATGAATTAAAAATGCAATTATCAGCAGCTATTAATATAATCAATCGTTTAGAGGACGAAAAAATGCGAACTTACATGGAACACGTTCAATTAAAAGTTAATTATGATACCATGATCAACGAACGCAATTCTTTGATCGAACAGACTAAAATTACAAAATTAGAAATTATAGAAGCTAATATCAAACTGCAAAGCGCAAAAGACAAAATATCATCTTTGGAAATGTTAAATAAAAATCTGGAAGAGTCTTTAACTATGTTAAAAAATAATACTTTGAAAATGGTAGCGACTGCTGAAAAGTAAATAATAAATAAAAATTGATCTTTAATTATTACTTGTAAAAATTAAAGATGTGTAAAGTCAAATTTGTAAAAATGATTGCAGCGAAATTGCTAAACTCAAAAAGGAACATCAACATTTGCAACAGTCATGTCAAATGACAATAGATCTTAATAACCGTTTACAAATATTTGGATTATGTGCGCATAGTATACATCAAAGAGACAAAATTGAAGTACAACGATTGCAATGTAAGTTAAATTCTATGTTCAACGATATCTTAAATGTTCCGGATTCTAACACAGCATTGCATCCAGAGATTCAAAAATTGTGCGAAAAGGTAATATGAATTGACAAATAATATAATACGTATATCAAATCTTATAATACGTGCTTGTAAATGCATATGCATGACACGTGAACATAGTGAAATATATAAACATAATTTACAATTAGTATCAACTATACATATATTATAAAATGTATTCTTACTTGTCAGTTACAGGCATTGATTCAAGAATTAAAATAATTCATGTAATAAATATAGTTTTGGTAGGAGACGAAGGAGGATAAGTTAAGTTAATAAATGCTCTTGGATGTATTGAGGATTAATATAAAATGTATTATTATATAATAATTGTCTGTATATTTCATTATATGCCAAACAAGTGATTAAAATGCAAATTTAAAAAGATGCAAGACTATGAGACAACAAGCAAATAAAGATATTGCCTGTAGATCCACCGCGTACACACGAATCCACTACTATATGCAATACAAAATATATCTAGAAAATAAGCATTTTTATCTTACATGTTCTGGTTTTTTTAAGAACCAATGAAAATAAGTTCCATGGCTAATAATTATAACGCTTTGAATTTTCTATTGAAGTTGTTTTCTTTTAATTTTTTTTTTTTGTTCAGTCATCACATGATGCAGTTACTATTTTAGCTGTTTATTATTATTATTAATATTATTATTATTTTTATTATTATTAATTAATTAATTATATAATATAATATAATAATATAATATAATAATTAATTAATTAATTAATACGCTAATAATTATAACATGCTTGTGTGATGTATTCTTATTAATTCCGTGAAAAAGCTAATCGCTTATTAACAATATATAAAAAATGATTGTGATTTTTATACCGGTTAAACCTTACTTTATTTATCATTATATGTGATTTTGCACAGTGATCCTTCCTTCTAAATATATAGATATATATTTTTTGTTTTTATTTTTCCTTTTTTTTCCTCTTTTTTTTATTTTTTTATTTTTTATTTAAATAACAGGAACAGAAAATTATTTGACGTAATAAAAGAATGCATTTTTAGTGCGTCTTATAAAAAATGATATTTCCCCTAATATTAAAGCGAAGTAATTTTATACTTGTATTTCACATTTAGTATTGGTTCTTTAATATTGATTTCATAGTATTCCCTTCTTTACATAACAACACCAGAGGAGAAACAATCACAGAAGTGCAATGAAAAAATGTGCTTTTTTGTTCTTTTTTTAAATAAGATGAAACTTGTTACTTTGCGTGCCAACGTCTTCGCTGTAAATATCACAATTTTCACAACAATATTGTTATTTCTCAAAAAGATTACTTATCAATAAGATTTAATAATGAAAGATGATATAAAACTGCAGTTTACAAAATATTTCCATTTCTCAAATACAGATTACATGTCTTTCTATTTTTTTTTCTTTATTAAAAAATAAAAACAAAAAGAAGAACAAAAAAAAAATATATATATATACGTAATTATAATAATGACACGAAAAAGAACCAACTTAAATAGTTTAGACAATTTCTCCTCTAATGATTTTTTCTCAGTAAGAAATTATTTAAATTTAATGATTATAAAAACACAGTCAATGTCCATTGTCAAGGTGTAAGTCACAGAGCTCAATTGATGGACCATATGAAGCCTCGTAGAACGTTAAATTTGTTCGAGGAAATGTATGTAAGTAATTAATAATAATAGACAAGTTGGCCTCATTCAAAGGTCGGAAATATTTAAGGGGTCAGAGTATAGAACAGCGAGCTAACCAACTTGGCGGTTTCCTTTGTGGTTCTGATGCTTTCAACTGGTGACCACCACCTTTGGGTGGATTTGATGCTTCCTAGATAACAATAAGATGAACGTGTTAATAAGTTATTAATCGATTAATGTATTATAGATACGTTAATATTTTTTAATTTAAGAAAACACGTTAAAGCATTAGTTATTGTTAGTATATCTGGTTAAATTATTATTGACGTCTAACGAATGAAAAAGAATAAAAATTCTGCAAATATGCAAGATTAATTAAATATTAGATGTAATTAAAAAACATACAAATATTAATAATGTTATGTTATTACAATAATGACACATAGATAAATGCAACTAGAAAAAAAATTAATTATATATTAATACACGTAGGATTAATAATAGATGCAAATATTACAAATAATCTTGCACATTAAGTAATAATGGATATGTAATATAGTTTAACGGTGTTACGTAAGAAAAGAAAAAAATATACATTCAAGTAAGAACAGTGTCGAAAGAAACAGTTACCTTCTGCCAAGATAGACCCGCACCAAACACAGAGAAACAGACATAGGAAACAAAGAAAATGAAGTTATTCGATATAACAAATTATAGGCAATTGAGTATACCTACAGCGCTTTTGACATTGCTTAGTATAAAGTGTGTGTTAGAAATATTAATTATTAAAGAGATACATTTATATATAACTTATAAAGTATAATAAATATATGTTTTTTGAATCAAAAATTAATCATTTATACAATACATTATACATACGCTATATTTAAAAATTCTATAACATGTAATATTATAAAAATGATACAAACTGTATATTATATGATTTCCCAAGAGAATGATATTTTTATAATTATTTATAAACGTACAAATTTTTAAATATAGCTGGATATATTTAAGTATAGTTCAGACATCCTGTATATGCAATTCTTATATGATAAATAATTAACAAATATTACAAATACTTACCAATTTCTTTTCCATTTTAGCTTTAATATCGCGCGCTAAAGTATAAAATGCTTCTTCAACGTTGATACTGGATTTCGCAGAGGTTTCCATAAATTTAATACCATATTCAACTGCAAGTTGTTCACCTCGTTCCTTAGATACTTGTCTCTTGTCTGTAAGTTCACACTTATTGCCTAATAACATCTTTTCTACCTCAGCGGATGCATTTTCTTCTATATTACGGATCCAATTCTTAATATTTTCAAAGCTTTTTTCATTTGTAACGTCATACACTAACATTATTCCCATAGCACCACGATAATATGCCGTTGTTATTGTACGAAACCTTTCTTGTCCAGCAGTATCCCTTTTATATATAAAAATAAAATAATTATTAAGAAGATGTTTAACAATAACAGAAAATATATTTTATACGAATTAGTGAGAATTCTTACCATATTTGCAATTTAATTTTCTTGCCGTCTAACTCAATTGTACGAATTTTAAAATCAATTCCTGAAATATAAAAATAAAACAATTTAATTTATACAAACTGATACAAACTATTCTCTTATTATCATCAAACATGGAATAGTATTAAAATCAAATAAGAACAAGAAGTGTATCAATGGTATATTGATAGGATTAATATAATGTATTTTTAACAAATATTTCTTGTCAAAACCTCATTCTTATAAGATAATGTGCTACTTGACAATTATGTCATATATATATGTATATATATACAACCTGTTTTGTGTTATTAAATTAAAATGATATAAAACATATAATACATTTGTTTAAAACGATAATGTTAGTAATGTGGAAAAAAAGGATGTAGAATGACGCATAGAATTTTAACGAGTATACCTAAACAAGAGTTTCTTTGTCTATAGACTAAATAACATTTGTCTAATGATCAGACGTATTTATAGATCTATGTGTCGTATTACGCATGTGGCAAGAAGAATAGCGAGAAAGAAAAAATGCTATGAATAATAATAACGATGATTATTAATAATGGGAGAGTAATACATACCAATAGTAGAGATGAAGGTCGTATTGAAAGCATCTTCAGAAAATCTGAATAATACACAGGTTTTGCCGACGCCCGAATCTCCGATAAGTAGTAATTTAAATAAATAATCATAGGTCTTTGCCATTTTTCACTAACAATCGACCTTTATCACGAGTTGTTTAAATATTATTATTCAACCACCACTACACTATCAAATACCTTGAAGCCCGGATGTTTCGTATTCGCGGTCCGTTGTGATGGTGAAAGACAGCTGGCTCCGAAATCTTGACTTCAAAATATTTTCGGATTTATTATACTTCTTCGATCGTTAGTCATTTGACGGAAAGTAATCACTTCAATTGTATTACTCGATTCTTAACAAGTAATTCTTGTAATACTTTATTTATCTTTTTTTTAACTCGCGATAATATTATTCATTAAAATTAACAAAGCAAATTTATCGTGCATAACATCTGTCATAAAAAGCGATGACAGCCATTCGACACCGCGATTTTTCCGCCGTGTTGTGGCTATCTTGCGGCTAGTTTAATTAACTATCGATTCTTACTAATAATCATTCTCGATTGTCGATTATTCACTACATCGAGATATATCGATCTTTATAATGTTTCAACTAATGAAAATATTTGTCCAGAATTTACGTCAGAAATTTCCTACTTTTTTTTACACTAGCATTAATTACGTCATTTTTTCTATTGCATCATCATATAAAAATAACTGAAATGTTTTTAATTCAAATATTTATGCAATTAATGTAGAATTAAATATCTCGGCGGCCATGATGTTTAATCGAAAATTTGTGGACTACTAAAGTCAATTATTAAACATACGTCTATTTTTTAATTTAATATTTTTAATGTTCAATTAATTACGTCAAAATAATATGAACTTTTTGAATGGAAATATTAATTTAATATTACTTATTACTTATTAATAACTCGTAATAATTTTTATAAACATTTTTTTTAATTCATCGAAACGCATTAATGTATGTAACATTGCATAGAATACTTTTAAATACACATATATATATACATGCATACATTTACTTATTCTTTATATTATAAAATATAAGTGACATAAAAAATAATTAAATTAAAATTACAAGAAGCTATTTATTAAAAGCGTATATGTAAGTTTATACTTTAAAATTACATCTTTTTACTTTTATTTTCTAATTTACTAAGATCTCTAAAGATTTGTTTTTTATTTTCCTTTTGTCTCCTTAATTTGTTAGCTTCTTCTACTCTAATTCGCGCTTTAAGAGCTTTTATCCTTTCTGTCGTAGCTTTTTTAAGTTTCTGTTGCTTATCCGCATATGCCGTTCTAATCATTTTCATAAGACGTGCCACATTTTCTTCTTTAGCGTCTCGCACCACTGCAACTCTATTTTCTGCAAATTTAGTCTTACGCGATTGTGGATCAGGTCCAAATTTAGGTTTGTCTTTGTAGGGAAGTTCTTTTTGTAAATTACGTGGTATTATCAAGGGTTTAAATACTTTCACTTTTCTTTCAATAGGAGTGTAAAGCGAATCAGTATTAACAGTTGCATGAATATTCTTTTCTCGTTTTAATTGACCAGTTGTTTTCATACCACGCCATTGATTCTTTTCAGCAGGAGGTAACAAAAGTGACGTTACAGGATTATAGAATTTAGGTACATCGATTTTGTACCAGGTACGACAGAAAACTATATCGCTCAATAATATTTTATCTTCAAACGTAGCACGAAAACAACCTGCTGGTTTAGAAACTGCTTTCTTTATTTGACCACGAATACCGGAAACTGTTCTAATCTTGGCACCTTCAAATTTAGCTACTTCTAAAGTGCTATTAAACATATCCTTGATAAATGCAGTCTTTTTGTAAATTTTCATTGGAACACCAGTGAGTTTTAATTTTTTCATTATTTGAGTACTCTTATCCATTTCTACGATAGATCCAGTAGCTACTATTCTAAAACCTGGTTCTCTTGTAGCAATATTTTGAACAGCAAGAACTCCAGTACCTTGTGGTGTTATAGGTCCCCAAAAATGTGCCATACAAGCAACATGTTCTGGTGTATATTTTAACATTCTACTACGTAGATTATCTTCTAATTTAGCATAAATTGGTAATGTTTGGAATCTTCTCCAACCTACAGAAAGAATTACAGGATCTTTGCTTTTCAAAATTCTTGGATACCATCTGTGTTTTTTAATTCGTGTTTGCACGTAACCGATATTTTCTTCTCCGTGCAATAATCCTCCAATTATAAGCGGATATGATGGATCTAAGTTTATAATCATTTCACAAGGAACACCTTGTATTTCTACACGTACATACATTCCTGGACGATAACCTTCTAACTGAACTCTAACATCATCATCTATTCCTTCGAATTCTGATTTGTTTATTTCTGCTTGTTTGTCAACTTCTTGTCTCAATTCGTCATAATATGTTTTTGTTTCTCCATTATCATACTCAGCATTGAACTGTTCTTTGAGTTTTCTTTTTTTCTCAAGAAGCTGTTTCTTTTCATCTAATTCATTTTCTTTTGATGGTTGAGTATCATCTGCTTTATGTTTCTCCCCTGTTTCTAAATCCTCAAAATCTCCGTATATTTCATTTTCATCCATATCATCTAATTTTAAAAGTTCCTCTGCATCTTCTGATTCTTTCCATTTGCCAGTAACAAAACAATTAACTAACAATACTTTATTGTCCTCTTCCAACCAATCTCGGGAAGGTTTTGTGGAAAAGAACACACTTTCTTCCAAATTTTGTAATTCACGTTCTTGTAATTTTTGTTTTTGTTTTTCTTGTACAACTTTAAATATTCCGCCAACAGATTTGTTATCATCATCATTATCTTCTTCTTCTTCTTCTTCATCTTCTTTATTATTACTTTGTATACCTTTGTCAAATACTCCATAAACAATTTTCATTAAACTTTTATTATTTTCTTGACGATTTCTAAATGCTTCTTTGGCCTTATCGACTAAATTAGATTTCCATTTAAATTCATCTGCAACTTCTTCCTCGCTTTCATAACCATCATTATCTTCTTTCATTGATTCTTCTTCAAAATCATTATTATCGTTATCAGAATGATCCATTTCTAAGCCACCACGAGAATCGGTGTCACTAAGCTCGTCAAAACTTTCATTATCGCTTTCATTTTTACTTATATCTACGTCTTTTTTATTTGAACTTTTGTCAAAAAGACTGAGAACTTCTGTAATTTTATTCTTTACTCGAATATCAGATTCTTTACTTAAAGAATGGTAGACTTCTACCTCAGTTTTATTTTTTACTTCTTTATTATTATCATCTTTATCTTTGTTATCAATATTAGAAGAATTAATGGTTTTCTTTTTCTTTCTGGAGGATAAAAGTAAATCCTGACTTTTTCTTTTAGTACCTTTTTTAATTGTATTCTCTTCTGTGTCATCTTCATCATCTTCATCGTCTTCATCGTCTTCATCGTCTTCATCATCTTCATCATCATTCAATTCTTCTTTATCATCGTCATCACCATCTTCTTCTTCGCTATTATCAGAATCCGCATCCAAAGATGCTGCAGTTTCATTTGAATCCGAGAAAATAACTTTCCTTCTTATTCTTCCATTCTCTTCTACATTCTCACCAATATAATGAGATTGAAAATCTTCATTAACATCCTGAGATTTAATAGGTGCAGCATCACTAAATAATTGTAGTTCACTGTGTTGTAACTTTTGATCTAAAGTTTCTTGAGTTTCCATCAATGCACCAGCTAAACCAGTATCCTCATCTTTGTGCGAATGACTACCCGCTAATTCAACATAAACTGCATCCTTATCATAAACAATCCCACCGATACCAGAAAACGGTGCATATATTAATCTTTCCTTTTCTACTAATGCACGTTTCTTCAATTGTTCGGGAAGAGGACATGGATCAGATAAAAAGCTTACATCTTTAATTCTAAGATCACCGCATCCAGGAATATGAATGGAAGATTCTTTAATTAAAGGCACTCCTCTAACATACCTGTAAAAAAAATTATACGAACATTTTTATACAATCTAATAAAACATCAGGCAAATATTAAATAATAAAATATAAAATTATACATACCCATATAAACATATTGTCCTATCAACCTTAGGATTTTTCCTTATCAATTCAGGCAATGTTAAATCTTCTATTCTATCAGCAAGAATATAAGGATGCGAAGTACGCCATGTCAATGGTCTAAATTTCATCACCGATATAAATCTAGCCAAATTTTTAATTTCAGTTCGAAGATATTCCTCATGAATTAATCCAGAAAGATAAAATAATTTAGCACCTGAGTATACTTCGGTCCAAAATCTATGTTTCAATATTTTCTTCGTTCTTCTCAATTGTTTAGCGTTTTTAAATAAATCTAAATGAGTTAATACACCCATGACTCTGGGCATACCATGAACTTGACAAATATTAAGAAATTCAAAGACCTCCATTTCAAAACCAAAAGATGCATCGACTAAGAGTAAAACCAAATCGGCTACTTTTGCTATATCAATCATACAACTTATGTCGTTGTTACATTCCATAAATGTAATCCTTCTTTTCTTACCAGAAACTACAGTGACAGGACCAATTATATTAGTCAATGGTTGCTTAACATAACTTTTAATTAAACATTGTATAAGCAATGATTTCCCAACTTTGGGTGGTCCAACTACTGCGACTAGAATTGGTGGAGGTTCTAATGGTGTTCTATCTACTAAAGGTATATGTTGTTTTTTAGTTTCAATATCCTGCTTACGTCGAAATCGTCGCTCAGCTTTAATTGCTGAATTAAATGTAAAAGCTTTCGGATTCTTCTGTTTATCGGTTAATTCTTGAACATGTGGATTTTTAGCTTTCTTCTTCTCAGCTTTACGACCAGCATTTCGTTCTCTATGCGTTTTATGTTTTACAGTATCTTCTTCGTTCAACATTTTGTCACACTTTTACACTTTCTAGATTTATTTCATTAATATTACAAAATATTTACCATATTTTACACTATTTTTAATTGTTTTATTTACTTTACTTACTCGCCTTACTCGTAATATCACACAACATGTGACTCTCATCAAAATAGGTTAGGTTTGATGCTTTCAGAAAACTATATCGATAAAGAAGAATCGAGAGTGCTATCGAAGCGTCACAAATTTGAACTTACCGTATGTCGATATTATCCTATTGATTTACCGACACTCCGCGAAACTGTTTTACCAACAGTCTCATTTATATTTTATAACTTTTTCAATGAAATTATGAATAAATAATTATAATTAAAAAATATTTAATCATAAGACATTAATAATAAATAAGTAAAAATTTAAATTGTTATAAATCGTGTGAAATGATTAAATAAGTTATTTAATTATTAATTAAAAATTTAAATTCAGTCATTGATGAATTTCTTCGTAGATACTCAATAAATTACGGATTTTATAGAAAAAAATCATTGACAAATTATTCCATAGATACACTTGAATATAC